TAAATGCATCCATATCCATATGAATTTTATTCACTTCCCCTCACCAGTTTGTTTGCTGAGAACATCTGAGAACCAGTGCTTCATAAACATTGGTATTATCCACTTACACGTGCAATGCTCCATGATGACTTTGATGATAGCTTTGCACAGACCATCCATATCACTATCATCGTCATGAAAAGCTGTGGTGACAACTTTGGAGATTGCAACCTGTATATTGGAGCTTTCATATTCCTCCATGGCCAGTGACAATGCCTCCTCCCACAGAGAGTGTCCTTGCTGCATTAAAAAGTAACAATACTCAGCAACAAGTAAGCATCCTATAAGAGTGAGTGAAGCTTTCACAGGGAATAACAAACCCATACCAATGGCATGTTCAGCTATTGACTGGACAGTTGGGAACTTCCCAAACAAAGTGACATCTTTGGGTAGAGGTGGCATTGGGACATCAGCATCCACTTCAAATTTGGACTGTGATTATGTGTTTGCCATTGACAAAGGAAGATAGTGACTGAGCACTTACAAGCTAAATTTTTTGGTGGCATAGGTGTCAGAAATATAATCACATCATGAATAGGAAATCAAGGTCTCTCTGGGCCCTATGAGTTTGCATACCTCCTGAGGTTACAACAAGGGTGCCAGAGACAGTGGTAATCAGACTGTGCATTGAATTGGCCATGCAATTACTCACATTCTGCCATAATGGAAATGGGAGAGAAAGTCAGCATATATCCAGGCAACAAGCCCAAGCCACTTACAAGCTATGGGTGAGGTGAGACAAGAAAGAAAGAAGTGAAAGTAATGAGGAAGGTTCCAACATCCCTATCTCCAAGTTCACTCACATTCTGCCATATTATCAACATGATGAATAGCAGTGATTGGTCAGCAGAGATCCAGCTAAACATGCCATGAAATTGCTTACTTGCTGTAATGTCACCAACATGAAGAGTGCAAGTGAGGCCATTCAAAAGTCATCCAGCTAAATATGCCATGACATTACTTACCCACTGCCATACCACCAATAGGAAGAATGCACATGAGGCCATTCAGCAAATATACAGCTAAAGACATCAGGGGATCACTCACATCCTGCCATGTCACCAATGTAAGGATTGCAAGTGGGGCTATTCAGCAGTGATCCAGCTAAAGATAACATTAAATAACTCATCCCCTGTCATGCCACCAACATGAAAGAGTGGAAGTAATGCTAGTCAACAGAGATCCAGCTAAACATCATGAAATAACTCACCTCCTGCCATGTCACCAACATTAAGAGTGCAAGTGAAGCCATTGAGTAGACATCCAACTAAATATACCATTAAATCACTTACATCCTGTCATGCCACCAACATAAAGAGTGGAAGTGAGGCCATTGAACATACATCCAGTTAAGCATTCCATGAAATCACTCACCCACTATCATGCCACCAATATGAAGAGTACAAGTGGCACCATTCAGCAGAAATCTAGCCAAATATGCCATGAAATCACTCACTCCCTGACATGCCACCAACACCACTCAGCAGACACTCAGCTAAAGGTGTCATGGAATCACTCACATCCTACCAACATGAAGAGTGCAAGTGAGGCCATTCAGTAGACATCCAGCTAAACATACTATGACACTACTTACATACTATTATGCCACCAACATGAAGAGTCAAGTGAGGTCATTCAGTGAACATCCAGCTACATATGCATATTCCATAAAACCACTCACCCCCTGTCATGTGATCAATATGAGAAGTGCAATTGACTGTCATAGTCATGTCTTGACCCCAGCTGGACTTGGTTTCACACTCATTCAGTCTGACCTTGGCCTCACCAATCCCTTATCCCCAGATAGTCTAGTGCAATACACACTGCTTTGCAGTGTGTGTCACTTCAGTTGAACCCTGCCCAGTCATGTCCCCAGTCTGCCCTGTCCTGGTCTCCATTACCTTAGTCATACCTTACTAATACTTGTCTTACCAATTGTCTTAGCAATCTGTGTGAGACTGGCATTACCAGTCTCTGAACTATAGCTACTTCTAGTATATAAACTCTTAGGTACTCAGCCTGTACTCTTCAGTCTGAAATCAATTAAGTTCTATCTGTAACTCTCAGTCTTGGACTTGGACTGCAACCCACACAAGGGAATAGCACTGTGTCATCAGTTGCTAAGCCCAATCAGTCCACCCCCTGTATCTCTGCCCCTTCCCTCTGAGCCTGACCCCTTGGCCTCATGCCCACTTTGGTCTCTGGTCTGGTCTCAAACCCAGACAACATGAACTTGACAGTGACACCATTCAGTAGATGTCCAGCTAAATATGCCATGAAATCACTCACCCACTGTCATCCCACCAGGTGAAGTCCTTCAGCAGACATCCAACTAGACATGCCACAAAATCACTCACCCCCTGTCATGCCACCAACTGTCAAGTTTGTGAAGTCTGGGTTTGAGGCCAGACTGGAGACTGAAGCTGGTGTGAGGCTGAGGGGTCAGGATTGGGAGGAAGGACAAAGATACAGAGGGTGGACTGTTTGGACTTAGCAACTGAGGATGCAGCACTATTCCCTTGTGTGGGTCCCAGTCCAAGTCTGAGGCCAAGGCAGGATTATCAGAGTAACTTAGTTGATTTCAGACTGAGGAAGTACAGGCCAAGTATCTAAGAGTTTATATACTAGAAGTAGCTATAGTACAGAGACTGGTAATGCCAGTCTTGCAAGGATTGCTAAGGTGATTGGTAAGAATGGTATTAGTAATGTATGACAAAGACAACTGGAGACCTGGACAGGGTACAAGGGTGGACCAGGGACAAGGGTGGGTTGGGCTCAACCAAAATGACATGCACTGCAAAGCAGTGTTAACTGTGCTAGACTATTTGGAGGTAGGTGTTTGATGAGACTGAGGTCAGACTGAATGAGTGCAAGGCCAAGTCTGACCAGGGTCAAGACATGGTTATGACAGTATCCCCCTCTTAGGGGTTGAACCCATGAGACCCCTGTGAGAGTGGTAGGCTGAGTCTGAAACCTGGCTGAGTTTGAAAAAATTGATACTTGTGGCCTGCTAAGCCCTCTGCACCTTTCCTTTGTATCTCAACCATCATGTCCAATTCAAGACCAACCACCTTGACCAATGTCACACACCAAAGGTGTTTGGTGAGGTGGACATGGATGCAGCTGATGAATGGAGATGAAGACCATAGCCCTCATGTGAAGAAGGACAGCCAAAAATGTCAGCAGTCATCCCTTGCACAAGAACAAGTCATCAATGCCAAAGAAAAAGGAAGGAAGTGAGTTAAGTGCTGATAAAAGTTCTTAAGTGCCTGTGTATGGCATTCTGGTTTTCAATGTATCTCCACCAATTCTGCAGATACTGACACCATTCCCACACTTGCTTATAGTGCTCAGCCATGCAATCCTACCTTCCAAAATTGGAAAGGATTTGCACACTCCACATGTTTCTACAGCACTCCCTCCAAAAGACACTCATTTTGCTAATTCTTCTGATATGGCCACCTCCATGTCAATCATTTTGCTTGTCCCCTTTGCTAGGGACCATGGCTATGTATATCTACCAGGAGTTCCTACCAGCTTCTGTCCTGAAGCATCCTGGTACATCCCATCCTTGTCTGCCCCCTCTCAGCCCCATCCAGCTTGGACAGTGCATTCTTTTTGTCAGTATGACCTCTAGGAGGATTTTCTTTGGTCACCTCAGGTCTGTCATTTGCTTGGAAAGGTCTTATATGGTCATTTCAGTCTCTCCAGTCCAAGAAGCATATGCATCCTTCCTCCCTGCTCCCTGCAATGTCTTCATACCAGTCTCATCCATCATTCTCCCAAAATTGCAAAGCTACAGTATAATCTACTGTTCTCCACTCTCCCTGATCACATCCATGATGAGTATGATGCACATCTTACCTCCTTATTGCAAGATACAGCAGAAGACACTCCCCCTTCATCCTCTCTTCCAACAGAGCCTCATACATGAAGTTCTTATTTGCTTCACTGAGAGGACAATTTGGGGGGGAAAGTTGCAATCCCCTATGCTCCTGTCACCCCACAGACCCCCAAAGCTTGACCCCTGTTGACATCTGACTCACCCTGTCCACTTTTGGATGTACTATATTGGCATCAGATCAGCACTGCCTCTCTGTCATCCCACTTTGGCCCAGAAGTGATCTCTTCAAGATGTGACATGCACAGCCTCCCCCTAATGTGATTCTGGTGTGCTTTCCCAGTTCCTGACATTACTTGACTCACACTTTGACATTCTGACTGTCTTTGACTCACCTATTGCCAATACTTACCAATCTTTTGACCTTGCTTACTGATTCTTCACTTTTTGGCTTGCTTATCCTTACCAATGCTCACCAATGCTTTCTAAGATGATTACCCATCACTTACATTCCTTACCTATCAGTTACCAATCACTTACCAAGTGTTTGCACCTTGTTTTCCATAGGCAACACCCCTGTACTGTATATAAATCACTGTACTTAGATAGCTGAATAGGAAGAAGACATCAGAGAGCCCCTCTTGCTCACATTTTATCATCTCTCAGTAATTCATTCAGCAGCTTCAATAGTTGAGACTTTATTAAGGGTCTAGCTGTTGTCTACTTTGCTTATCATCATCTTTCATCAATATGCTTTGCTCCAAGTCCTCCCTGAGCTCAGTGCAGCTCAGAGCATCAAATTAAGTTGCCATCCATCCTTCTGTAGGCTGACAGCAGTCTACCCTATTGCTTCCTCTCACATTCCTGCTCCCTCTTTGTCAGGAGCACCCTCAACCCTCAGCACTCATCTTTGAGTGTTGTAGCTTGCAAATACCCACCAAAATCAAAGGTTCTACCATCTAGGTACTGCATAGGCACACCACCACTTGCTCTTATTGTCTTTTGTGTTGGTTTTGGTTGGTTTCCACCACTGAACCACACTTTGACTCACACTGATAACAACAACAAAGGCCAGGCCATCATTGACTGGACCCAGGTATCAGATGATGATGAGGAGACAATGAAGGCCAAGCTGAAGGAGAGGAAAAGGTGGAAGGCAGCTGAGCAAGCCTGGCAAGAAGAACAGGTGCAACTCAAGGCCAAGAGGGTGGCAAGAGAGAAGGCTGAGGCTGAGAGGGCAGAGAGGGAGAGGGCCAAGGCTGAGAAGGCAGTGTGGGAGGCCAAGGAGAAAAGAGTGTGCAAGGAGGAAGAGAGACAAGAGGCTGAGCATAAACACAAGGCCAAGGCCAGCAAGGGTGATGAGGCTGGTGCTGGGGCCACTAGTAGTGAGGCCAGGGGTGAGGTAAAGAGGGTGGTAATGGACCCCAGGTGAGTATTTTTACAACCTACACAAGACTGCAGTCACCAACTCAGGTCAGATCACCAATGCCCTCGAAGTGATTCTGGATGAATCATATGGGTATGGGATGCCAGTCTCCCCATCAGACTCAGGTTCATCTGAACTCAACCCTGAAGAACTGTGCAAGGAGGCCAAATGGCTGGAAGCTGGTGGAAAGGGCAAAGAGGCTGAGGGGGAGGGCAAGGACATGGCCAAGTAGTCCTTATAGTGTAGTGCCTTTGTTACCTTTCCTGCAAATGTCATGTGTCCAGTCTTATACAGTAAAATAAGAGAAACAAGAAGAGGAAAACAAGGTAAGTAAGAGATCAAGAGGAACTAGACACCATTAGAGAAACAAAGAGAAAGCTGAGGCCAATTGAAGCCAGTCCTCACTGGTATGGGCTGGGTTTACCAGGATAGCAGGAGTGAAACTCTTGTATGAGTTCAGATGCATTATCCAGCTCTGTAGCTAGTACCAAAGTAGTTTCCTCATTGGTCCCCTCATAGCTGGACCACCAGACTAAGTATTGAAGCCAACACTGGCAATGCCAGTTGACCTTGGAGTCAAGGATTTCAGCTACCTTGAACTCTAGTTCTCCATTGACTTCAACTGGTGGGGGTGGTGGCCAAGTCTGGTTTGGGATGGTATTAGGGATGGCTGGCTTGAGCTGGCAAACATGAAAGACTGGATGTACTGTGTGCATTGAGTCTGGCAGGTGCAGTGTGAACAAGTGGGTACCAGCCTGAGCTATGACTGGATACAGTCCAAGGTTCTTCTCTGAGAGCTTCTTGGAAAGCCAGGTTGACTGGAAGTACTTGGCTTTGACATATACTTGGTCACTGACCTTGAAGTCCAGAGCCAGTGTGGGGAAAGATAATTGAGAGGATTGAGGATGGGGTAGGATCTGAGAGGGAGAGAGTAGGACCAAAGGGGCTCCTATGGCCTGAGCAAAGAGTGTAGGGGGATAGGAAACTGTCTAGGGCAGTCTGGGGCAGTCTTTCTCTTGTTTTTGTCTTTTTGGGGTAACTCATCTATTGTTTTAAAGGAAACTAAGTACAGCAAGTACTAGGTATGGCTGACTAAGCAACCCAAAAAGCGAAAATCTAAGTACCACTAACAGAAAAACACCTAACATGAAAACTAAATAAAATGAACAAAATAAAACAAATGCTCTAGTAGGGAAATTACATTCCCTACACCAACATGCATTTAGTGTCAGCCAGGCCTTGGTATTGTTGTTGGGCAAGGGTCATTTCTTCACATAGGTATTGGTGCAGTGAGTCTAAGTCAACTGCATAGTCACAAGCCTGAGTGGAGGTGAGATTGTGCTCTGGGTATACTGAGATGTTGGGGTGGTAGCCCTTATTAGTGAAGAATGGAGAGACACCAGTAGTGGCACTAGGGGCATTGTTGTAAGTGAACTTGGCCAAAGGTAAGAGGTTGGCCCAATTGTCCTGTTGATAGTTACAGTAGACTTGGAGATACTGTTCCAGTGTCTGATTAGTTTGCTCAGTCTGGCCATTGCCCTCAGAGTGGTAACCTGAGGTGAAGTGTGAGCACATATCTAAGGCCTCACTGAGTGACTGGAAGAAGTGAGACATGAATTCTGAACCTCAGTCTGAGGTTACATGGGCTGGTACTCTGTGCTTTGAAAAGACATGGAGTGGGAAGAGTTTGGCAAGTTCCGGGGCTGTGATGGTGTCATGGGTGGGGATGAAGATGGCCTGCTTGGAAAGCTGGTCAACTACTATGAGGATGGCCATGAAGCCAGATGAGGCTGGAAGTTGTTCAATGAAATCCATAGAGATGGAATTCCATGGCTTCTCTGGCATCAGGAGTTGTTTGAGAAGGCCATAAGGCCAATGGTGGGGAACCTTAGCCCAAGCACAGGCAATGCAGGACTGGACATAGTCTTTGACAAATGTCCTGAGGCTGGGCCAGGTATACTCATGCTGTAAGAGTTCTAGGGTTTGGTTTTGGCCAAAGTGGCTGGACAGGGGGTGGTCATGCTTAAGTTGCAAGACCATAAGGTGAAGGTCATTTGAGTCTGGCATGTAGATCCTTCCATCAAGCTGAAGGAAAGCAGTGTCATCTACTGACCACTGGGGATCAGACATGTTGGACAGGCAGATTTGTGAGACTGGGTTGTCCAGCAGTGCAGTCAGGATATCATTGTGTAGTTTCTCTATGTCCATTAGTGTGACTGCTCATAAGGCTGGGTACTCAAGATATGTTGCATGGAGAGAGACTGCTAGTTGCTCCTGGGTGAAGACTGGTCTCAGGTTTTGCAGGTTCACTCAGGCATAGCCACTATCCCCCTCTTTGGGGTAGACATCCCATCATCTAGTCAGGGTGTCAGGCTTAACCCTGAGCTTACTGGGCCTGAATCTAATGATCATATTGAACTGAGACAGGAATTCTGACCAGCAAGCTTGGTGGCAGGTGAGTACTTTAGAAGTAGAGAAGTACTCAAGGTTCTTGTGGTCAGTAACAATGTTGACCAGTGAGGCTGAGCCCTCAAGGTAGTGGTGCCAGGTCCAGAATGCTTCAAAGATTGCAAGCAATTCCTTATCATGAGTATCATAATTTAGCTCTGGGGCAGTCAGAGTCTGGGAGTAGAAGGCTACTGGATGGATCTGGCTGTCACTGCAGGTGATGGAGGGGATGCTGGCAATGGCATAGTCCAAAGCATCAGTCTCAATGGTGATGGGTACCCCAGGGATAAAGTGAGTTAAGACTGGCATGGTGGTGAAGGCAGCCTTGAGGTTGTTGAGTGACCAGCAGCACTCCTTGGAGAAGTTCCAAGGGGCACCTTTGTGAGTGAGCTGGTTCAATGGTATGATGGTGTCTGAGTAATTGAAAATGAACTGGCAGTAGAAGTTTGCAAAGCTGAGGAAGGATTGTATGTCCTTGACCTTGTGAGGCTCAGGCCAATCACAGATGGTCAGGACCTTTTCCTTTGACATCATGAGGCCAGCAGGGGAGAGGTGGAAGCCAAGGTACTCAACTGAGTCCAAGTGGAACTCACATTTCTTCAGCTTTGCATAAAGGCCATGAAGCCAAAGCCAGCAAAGTACTTCTCAAACATGCTGCTTGTGGGACTCCTTATCTCCAGAGTAGATCAAAATGTCATCAAGGTAGACAACCATGCATATGTTGAGCATATCCACAAAGATAGTGTTGACAAAGTGCTGGAAAGTGGCTGGGGCATTGGTGAGGCCAAAGGGCATCACTAACCACTTATAGGACCCATACCAAGTCTGGAAGGCAGCTTCCATTCATCACCTGGGGCAATCTGGACAAGATGGTAGGCATGCCAGAGATCAATCTTGGTATAGATTTTGGCTTGGCTTGGTGAGTCCAGGAGGTCAGAGATGAGTGGGAGTGGGTAGTGGTCTTTCTTGGTGATTTTGTTCAGGCCACAGAAGTCTACACAAAGCCAGAGGGAGCCATCCTTCTTCTTGATGAAAAGGACTGGTGCAGCATATGGGGAGGAAGTCAGCCAAATGAATCCAGTAGTGAGGTTTTCATCAATGAAGGTCCAGAGAGCTTGCAGCTCAACTGGGGACAGTGAGTAGATGGTGCTGTGAAGCAGGGTTGTTCCTTCTTCAAGCTCTATCTTCAGGTTGTACTCCCAGTGTGGCAGGAGTGCCAAGGCCTTGGCCTTGCTGAATACATCAGTGAAGTCATGATACTCTTCTGGTACATTGGGTAAGGCCAGGGGAAGGGAAGCTGAGGCTGACTGGGCTTCAGCTGAGTCTGAGGGGCAGAGCTGAAGTTGGAACTGGACAGACCCTTCAAGTTTGCAGGTGTGCATGAAGGTGGCTGCATTGATTAGGGAGACAAGAGGGGCCTTCAGGGGGGTGCAAGCTGGGGAGTTGGAGACCAGTACAGATGGCACAGGGCTGGGTTGGTCACTAGGACCAGGGTCAGGAAGACCAGTGGAAACTGGGCTTACAGGGGGTGTCAACAGGGTTGGCATTCCTTGTGTATGAGTCTGGAATGTTAGACTGCTCAGTACCCAATCAATCAATGGATTGTAGCAGGTGAGCCAGTCATGTCCAAGGACTATCTTACACTCAGAATCCAGCAGGGCTAAAAACAGGGTTACCAGGGTGACATCACTGGACACAAAGCAGATATTGACATCTACTGCTTGAGTTATGGTAAAAGTGGACATTCTATCAAAGAGCTGGAGTCAGATTGGGGAGACCAAGTATGGGGTAAATGAGTGTTGATTAACAAATTGATTATCTATAAAACAATGAGTGGAACCAGAGTCCACTAAAGTATGAAGCTGAGGTAATTCTGGATTTTCTAATGTGACATATGGGGTCAAAGAGTTTGGACTGGAAAGAGTGGATGCATTGAGACAAGCCTCCAAGTTTGCACAACCAGAGTCAATGCAGCTCCCAGATTGTGTGGAGTCCCAGGAGCTGCTACCTATTTTTTTGTCTCAGGGGTAGAACCTGTGCCTGAGGCCAATGCAGCTTCAGTGGTGGCTGCAGTGTGAGCCTTGGCCTTTTTGGCTTTCTTGGGGCATTTGTCAGTGAAATGACCAGACCCTCTGCAGAACATGCAGAGGTTTCTGTCTATGCAATGCTTGCATTCTTCCAGGGTGAGCTTCCCATCTTTGCTGAGTTTGCTAGGCTCAGGCTTGGATGAGTTGTTGTTATTACCCAGCTTAGGGGAGGGACCAGCATTGTTATTGCTGCCAGTCTTGGCTTTTTCCTGACTGGTCTTGGACTGACTGTTGTTACTAGAACTGCTGGACTTGTTGGAGGAGGAGGATGAGCCCTGATGCCTACCTGCCCATTGGATTTCTTCCTTGTGCTCCCAATAGCATGCATCTATTTCCTGGGCAAGGTGGCAGAGCTTGTGTAGAGTCTGGGGCTTGCCAACCTGGCAGATTTCATCTTTGATCTGGTCTGGGAGCCTGGAGTAGAAGTGATGGTGCAGTGCACCATCACCATGGCCTCAGACTTGCAAAGAAAGCTGATTAAAATCAACTACATATTTGTTAATGCACTGACTATCTTTCATGTGTAGGTGGTTGAGTTGGCTTTTGGCATCAGCAACTGGGTCATGAGGGCCAAAGGTGGTTTGTAGTTCTAGGATGAACTCCCTCCAGGAGTCAATCCAGAGGGGCCAGTCATCAGGGTCCTCAACCCTGAGTACATCCAGCTTGAACCACTCTACAGCCATGCCTTTCAGGTAAG